TAACTTGGGGCTCCGCAGCGCCAGATAGAGGAAGAGTACAGCAGAAGACCCGTATGATAAGTAGTTGACAATGTGGGTTGTCCAATTTTCTGTCACACTCTCCCTGGTGGGCGCGTTTGCGAGCGAAGACAGCGACAAGGCCACGAGCAAGGTCTATATAAGTATATATATAGACCTTGGCCACGAGTGCGCTCACGATCAAACACGTCCACAGAATGGCTGCGATGGACTTCTTAATCTTCATCTTTCCTCCCTCGGTGGATCTGAACACGTAAGGGAAGCCGCCAAATAAGCGAAGGGCGCCAAGAAACGAGGACACTGCCTTTCATCTTGGCAAAATACATAACAGCTCGCACGAGCACACTGTTTTACGTTAACGAGGGAGAGAGACTGAGCTCTCTGCTTCACCACATAATGCGCGTTATCTTGCCAGGAGGCACTGAACCCTGGATCAATGTCATGAGCTAACACCTTTAATGAGATGGCGTTGACAACAGGCAAACACCCCGCCAGGAGCTGACTTTATTACCGGATAGAAACGACGAAAATCAATATCCCGTGTGATGGTAGTCAAACATGCGTTAAAATCATACACTAATGTCAGTAAAATACAATTTATTCAGTGAACTGATTAATCTAAATGTAAGTAACTTCAAAGACCTAAAATCGTAGTAATCCACTCAGTGTATTTCGACACATCAACGTAAACTCCGGGATAGTCTGGACGACCGCAACCATTGCCGAAACTAATTACGCCCACGAGGTACCACTTAGAGGCAACCTCCTGTAGCAGCGGCCCTCCGGAATCGCCCTGACAAGCGTCTCGCCCGTCTCCTGCGCCGCATAACATGCTATCGGTGAAAAGGTCGCCGTACACGCGACAGGAGTCTAAGGGCAGAATAGCAACAGTTGCTTCATGAAGGTGAGGAGTAATGGCGCCATTTTCATGGAGGCGACCCCACCCTATCACCGTGGCAGGACCGGGAGAGACCGTGGTCGCAGCGGGAAGGCAAACAGGAGACAGCGACGCACCAAGCACCAGGTCTTCCTTCAACGTCAGAACAGCCAAGTCGTAGTCATGTACATTCCGACGACGATACTCGGGATGTATGGCCACCGCAGACACCCCAACAACACTTCTCCCACTGCTCACAGCAACATGTAGAAGGCTTAGGAACCACCTATAAGCGTAAACACAATGAGCAGCAGTAACGACGTGCCTGACGGAGACCAGGGTTTCCTCACAGAAGTGCTCCTGAAGTGCGCAAGCTGGTGATCCAAGGCCATGCGCCCTCCTCCGATAGATTCCCTCCCACGATCCTGGCAGATGGGGAGAGGCCGCAGCTGAAGGGCAGAGGGGTCGGCACGCGAGGCTTGGCGTGAGACGCCCACGACCACCAAAAGCGCGGAAAGGAACCCTCACTAGGAGCGTAAATAAGGAGGACAGAGAATATGAAAGACTTCATGACGGCGGTTGTTATGCCATTTCCAGAGATAACAACTCAGTATATATATGTTCTATTGCACTTCACGGACCTGAATCATGTGACCTGACCTTGAATAGTAAGTGTTTAGGGGGACCTAGCCATGTTGTTTCGAAGCTTGGGAATAGGTATAAGGTAATTTGACAAGCTTCAGGTATTTTGATGGTTTTAATATTATATAGAACTGGAATAAAGGAAACTTAAAAGATAATCTCACCCATTTTCATTTTCCATACACAGGAAGTGTCATAAATTTTTCGTTTTATGAAGTCGTATTTTGTATATCCATGAAATAATATTATTGTGGAGCGAACGAATAAGAACAATTTTGGCATTCACATAGATCAATACGGATATAGATAAGGGCGATCGGAAGGCAACTTTCCTCCCTTTTAACCGATGACCAGAGCCTGCATAATTCCTCTCCAAGTTTTCAAAGGACTTACACATCCCTTCCTGCTCCAAGACGACAGACTTCATCAATACACAGCAACCCTCTTCTACTGCGTGCATCTCTATATGATCTTTTCCCGATGCCAACAATAAGATGTATATGTCAGGAGTTTTAGAAGTTTGGAATATTTCAATAATTATTATTATTTTATATCTAATAATGTAACCATTAATATTATCGCTATTTTTATTTCTATTAATATTACTATCATCACTGTTGTTGTTGCTGTTCATTTCATTACCATTATTATTTTTATCATTATTATTATTACTATTATTATTATTATCATTATTATTATTATCATTATCATTATTATTATCATTATTATTATTATTATTATTATTATTATTATTATTATTATTATTATTATTATTATTATTATTATTATTATTACTATTATCATTATTATTATTATTATTATTATTATTATTATTATTATTATTATATTATTATTACTATTATTATTGTTATGATCATTATCATTATTATTATTATTACTATTATCATTGTTATTATTATTATTATCATTATTACTATTATCCTTGTTATTATCCTTGTTATTGCCATTGTTATTATTATTTTTATTGTTATTATTACTATTAACATTATCATTATTATTATTACTATTACTATTACTATTATTATTATTATCATTATTATTATTATTATTATTATTATTATTATTATTATTATTATTATTACCATTATTATCATTACTATCAGTAGTAGTACTACTACTATTATTATTATCATTATTATTCATTATTATTATTACTATTATTAGTAGTACTGCTGTTATTATTATTATTCATTATTATCATTGTTGCCCTTGTTGTTGTTAATGTTTCTATTATCATTATATTGTTATCATTATCATTATTGTTACTGTTATTTGATTTTTTTATGAATATTATCATTATCATTATTATCATTGTTGTTGTTGCTGCTACTACTGTTATTACCAATATTACCATTACTATTATTATTGTTATTATTTCAATTACCTTTAACATCATTATCATTATCACCGTTATTATTATTATTATAAGTATTATAATTATTATTATCATATTATTATCATTCTTATTTAATTATTATTATTACTATTATTATTGTTAATAATAATATTACTACTACTATTATTGTTGTTGTTATAATCCTTATCATTATTGTTACTATCATTATTACTACTATTATCTTACTATTATGGTATGGTATGCCCTGGAAAAATAAAGCCTTCAGCGTTTACGTGTTTTCTTGTTCTTCCTTTCGTTGTTCCTGTTGCATACAATTTGATATCGTGTTCCATACTATATGTCTTTCGTCTCTTTTTGGGACGCGAGAGGATTTCTTATCTGATAACTAAATCATTGTACGGTTAAAAGTATCTTTAAGGCTTGAAGAGAAACAATGTATAGCGTGGGTATGTATTTGGCATTTATACTATAATTTGAGCATTGGGAAATTCACTTATGACTAGAAAATAAGATTAAGGGACATGGACATGACAATTCAGAAATAAGAGATATAGCACACAATGTTGTGATTTCTCTTATTGAAGAATTTCAAACAATGACTTATCACCTCTGGTTTGGGTAGCTGTGATTCATAATTAAAAAATATTTTACCAACTATAATGATGTTCTCTTCCAGTCTTTTAATACGAGTGTGATTATTTTCACAAATATAGGCCGGGTAACATTGCTGGCATTCTTGAAAACTTCAAAGCCTATGTATTTGGACACCTTTTCTACAACCAACGTTTTCCAGCTTGCAATGTTTTCACGACACAGCCTGTCAAATGTCGTTCATGATTTGACTCGTGTCACCTGGTGCTCACTGTATGCCCTTCAAGAAGAGCATTATGGCACGGACTTCTCCGACAACGATCGGATGCCTTCGTTGTGACGACTTAAAGGACCCTGAGAACTTCTCTGGCTTGGGTGCTCTCCGCAAGACCGAGATCACCTTCTCGACGAAGACCTCCTTTCTCAGGACCTCTTCTCCCTCCTCCATTAGCTCCGCCAAGAAGAGGGTGATCAGAGTCCGGGGGCTTGGCACGTCGACGCCCAAAGGAGATGTCTGCCACACACAACCATAACGTCGCTGTTCGCGTTTCGGCAGCCACCAGTAGGCCTTAAGGAGTTTGCAGAAGAACACGCACGTTTGCAAGACTATCAGCTCTTCCTTCCTCAGAGAAGATATAATATGTTCGTGCATAAAATTAAACAGATAGATCCATGCCCCTTCCGCAGTGTTCGCAAGGTGTTCGTGACCCTTCTCGCTCTGAGGGTTTTGCAACCTCTCTGGCAGGTGCTGCCACTGGTGCTCGTGGGGCACCGGCGCCTTAACGACGGGGGTAACAGACACACGCACCAGAGTGGCTCTAGGTTTGCCTAAATACAGAGCAAACAGCGAAACCCCTACTAATGAATGCGTGAAGAACGGCGGCACTAAAGCAAGGTTTTTGAATGCTGTCTTGCTGAGAGCTTCTTGGGCAGCTTTGTAAAAGGAATCTTTGAATCTTGAGACCTCAAAGAGGTCTTCGTCTCGAGTTGATGTCAAGCGGAAAACTTCTTCACAGTCTTTGGCCTCCTTCCCAGCCCTATCGCTAACTGTTATGCATCCCCCTTGGAGGGCGTGGTAATCCTCAAGCTCAATGTAGAACTCAAAATCATCTGGCAAGAAAAATTCGTTCTTTTCACTGGTTGAGCAAAACGATACAAGTTTACCCGTAAAACGCGGATCTATTTGAGTTATCTCCTTTAAAAACACATTCAAATCTTTTTCAATTATACTCTTGATCTCTGAGAAATTCATGCTTTCAATGATTTTCTGTTCTTTTTCGATAATCTCCTGAATGTCCTGCACATTTCTGATTCCCAGAACTTCGCACCGCTTTGCTAGCATGAGCTTCGCCCTCAAATGATTCCCATTCGCGCTTGCAATCGCTGTCGCCTCTTCCTTCGACAGCACATCTAGATGACAGTTCTTTATGTTTTCAGCAAAGTCTTGAAAAACATCGTTCGGACTCAGGCCATGGTTTAGGTCAGGCTCTTCGC